GTCTAATTAGTTTCAATTTCTGCTGCTACACTCAGAATTTGTCATAAACAACATGGAAGCATGGATCCATCCTTGTATCAGTGATTCAGGCTGCTGGTGATGTAATGCGTTGGAAAATATATTCTTGGCACAGTTTGGATCCATTAGTACTGACTGAGCATCATTCTAAGGCCACAGCTTACCTGAGTTGCTCATCTTTATAACCACAGTGTCCTCATGTTCTCACAGCTGCCTCCAGCAGGATCACATATCATCTCAAAATGCTTTCTTGAGCATAACAATGAGCTCCCTGTACTCAAACTAGTACTAAGCTTCATGGTGTACCTAAATAAAGTGTCTGGTGAGTGTACATAAATTAGAAAAGACTACCAAAAAAGACATCACTTTGTATTATAAGAAACTAGAATAGGGTATTTTTAAGTCATGGTATTTTAATTACATATAATTAAGTTTTTATCAATTAAGTATAAAAATAATATAGATATTAATAAATGCTCAAAATAAGCACCTGTTCCTGATGTAATTGTGTCTGCTCTCTAAAGCTGTTGTGTCTGTTCTTTATCACCCCGTGAACGCATTGTCACAATCTTAATAGCACAGGCTTAAATAATATTTAGAGTAATCTTGATGACTACTCCTGCCGTTTCTGCTTTTACCCCTGTAATTAAACTCAAGTCCGGGTCTCATCTCATTTCATACCTCAGCTCACCCAAATGAATCTTTCATATGCTATTAATAAAATAAATCTCACACCGCAACAACGGCAGCAGAATAAAAATGCAAACATCTGAGATAATGTCAGTGATTGGGTTGAAGATATGTGTATTAATGAGGCACACTGAGGTTGAAGCTCAGAAGAAACAAAATATACCCAAGAAGCAACAATTTGTGTCCAGCTCTCCCCTAAAAACAAGAAATGGTTTGATTCCCTGTAATCCAGTTGGAGAAGACAGATAATGAGTTTGCCATTGGCTGGATAGATAGAGGTCTCTGCCTTTAATAACTCCGGTTAAATGCTAAATGTACTACAAAGCACTTTTCTCCTCTTACCGAGCACTCAAAACACTTCACTTGGTTCATTTGCTTTCCTTCTGTGCCTTCCCGAAAATACTGATGGCAGCCAACAGGTTTATGATTAAGATATCACAAATGAATGAAAGCATGGAGGGAAATTGAATCAGTAGGTGGATAAGAGGCAGAAGGCAGTCTGATTAAGAGCAGGGGTAAAGCTGCTAAGACACAAACACTTGGAGAAGGGTCATTAGATCAGGATGAGAGTTTAAGATGTGTGAGGAATCAATCCTAGGCTTATTTTATTGTCCACACTTACACCCTCTGCACTTGCCTCCATCCCTAACAAAAACAGGACCCAAACAGAAGACCCGCTTAAGGAAAAATCACCAGCATGTCTACAACTACCACCTATGGCTTGGTTTGTTTGTTTTTCTTTGCACAGATTTGCAGTGAAAATTAGGAAATTAAGTGAATGATGTTCATAATTTAATTGAATATGTACCCCCACCCCCTGCACAATACTCAAACAAAACCTACACCCATGTTTGCATGATCATTTCCCCCACAAAAAAATACAGGTTTATCTTTTCAAATTAGAAATATGTTAATGTTAATTAGATTTTTCATATTTAAGCTGGATTTGTGAACAAACATCTCAACAAAACGGGGCAGATTTCTACTAATTAATTATTTTACTGTGTTTGATTTTAAGGCTGAGGAGAAGCGAAAGGAGTAAGCTTTGAAATCCTTCTACCAAATAGATAAAGTACATGTGAGTTGTATGAAATAATTACTAGAAAGAAAGCCCTCTGTACACGTCATACATTTGAGGAATCCATATTACATCAAGTGAGCCACAATCAACACTAATGGGTCTTCTTTATTTCTAATAAATTGAAATCTGTAAACTGTAATGCATTTTGTAAGGATCACATAATCCTGGTATATATATTTTTCTACAGTTATGTTTTAACAGTGTTGATTTTTAAGTGTAATTTTGGTCTTAATAAGGATAAAAAACACATGATACTTACATCAATGAAAATGGACATTCCCTTTTTGAGCTCTATTTGAGCGCTGGGCTCCTCGGACACCGGCTGAACCTCTTCTGAACAATCCATCATCCACAGTGTAGCTTCACTTGTGATCTGCAGAGGAATGTGTGTCCGCTTGAACCTCTTATTCTCTGACTCCGACAAGACACGCGAAGTAACGAACAAGTTCCGGGCTGGAGTGCCACAATTAAACGTTTACTTTTAAAAGCCGAAAATAAGAGTTAATGCGATCCTTACAGTGCACGTAACGAAGCCCAAATATAACTGCCCTGCAGTCAGCTTTGAGACTGCTTTTTCCTCCCCGTTAGGCAGCGATGTGCAGCTATATGCTTTTATTTTGACAGCTAAATCAACAGCCTGCCATATACTGACTGTCTGTGTTGATCCCGCCTCAGTTGATGCGAAGTGTTCGTGTTTTTCCACACTGTGATGCACAGGCTTTAAAATATATAAATAAATACATAGAAACTTCACCTGAGACACTCTGACAACATCGCTGCATTCAGCCAAATGAGCAGCACTAATAGCTTACTCCAACAGAGGGCTGTTACATAAATGTGAACTTTTTGTAAAAGCTACAATGGCCACATAAAAGGTCGGCTTATGATGTCCTCTCTAGACAGATCCCCCTCCCCCCAGGTAGTTGAATGCTTGAAAACGGTGGTCTCACTTCAACACACAAAAATGGCCAGTCTCTCAAGGACTGACATTTCTGTGTTTTCGCTGCAGTATATGCTCTCTTTTAATCTGACCATAATGAAAATGTGTACAACTAAAAAACAAACAAATTAAAAAACAACAACTCATTAAGAATGATTTCTATTGTAGCTTTGCATTAGCAAAAGAAGAAGAAGAAGAAGAGGAATATTGAACTATAACAAGGATATGTATGTTATAATCTGCCACATGTATCGCTCATGCTAAACTTGTATTGTGTTGAAATGGCTGTAAAACTGTGTAACACTTCCATCTAGTGGGGTGCTGTGATAGCACAAAAATACAGATCAACAAAACCAAAAATTACATTGATGAAAAAAAAAAGAAAAAACATATAATTTAATTAATAGTCCAGGGTTTATGTGAGACAATGCTCAGATAGGAGGGGTTAGTCTGTTTTTAAAGGACTACCACCTCAAGGCTTACAGCTCCACAGCCGAGAAAGCGGTGTTAGATGCACCAATGAACTTATTGTCTGCTTCACTCCCCTCGTTATGAATTTATGCTGAGCACACCAAGCAGGGTGATTCCCCTCAGGCTATAATATTATACTGCATGCTCTCAGAAATACAGGAGAATAAGTGAAAGTGCTCTTACTCTGCCACATATCACAGTAGTGTGCCGCCTGAAATTATGAACCAGATTTTTATAAACGTGAAATTATGTCCATAAAAATAATCTGCAGTGTATTTTTATGCTAACTATATTTACTGCAGTACTATTGTTCAGTTACAGATTTGTGGTACATGTACTGCATTGAGGTCTGCTTCTTCATCACCTCATTGCATGATGGATATTTATTTTTGATTCCTTCTTTGAAAGCTAATTTGAATGAACATGGTAAGAAAATTAAGCTTAATTCATCTTGTTGTGAATGAAGACTGATTGGAGACAATCTATACTTTTGCCAGCTGAATTTAAGAGCATGTTATTTTAGGTGATCAAGAGGAAACATATAATTTTTATAGTAGAATAAAACTGAATTGAGAACCTTTTTTGTAGGATTATATGCCAATGAGCAAACATATGTGTAGATCAGGGGTGTCAAACATAAAGCCCAGGGTCCAGAATTGGCCTGGCAAAGACTCCAATCTGGCCCACTGAAAGGTTGTAGAAAGTGTGAAGGAATGCATAGATTTAAACTTTAATCTGTATTTTGATAAGCTTTTCACAAGTTCATAAAAACCTCTCCTATTGCCATTCACACTATACCAAAGTAAAGTAATAGATAATTAAATGACATAAAAGTTCCTGTTTTTAGTGCCTACTTACTTATACTACTAATAATGATATCAGTACTGAAATGTTTATGTAGGCAATGAGGTACCAAAAACCTTTCTGTCATTTTCTACATTAATAATGTAGAAAAACTGAGAAATACTGTTGAAATTTCACTTCCACCCCTATATTAACGCTTCTCGGGGATTAAATGTGCAGTTACATGCATTTACACTTACACTGACAGAAAGGGACGTTACACTGGTCTGGCCCACTGAAGGCCACGATATTAAATGAGTTTGACATCCCTGGTATAGGTAATATCTGTTCTGCACATTGACACACACACACACACACACACACACACACACACACACACACACACACACACACACACACACACACACACACTAAAATAAGTCTCAGAAAGCATGTAACAACAACAACAACAACAATAAATTGCTCTCATTAATTTATATGAATCTCATGCGTGTGTGTGTGTATGTGTTTGTGTGTTTTAATTTGCTTCAGTTGTTTATCAGTTACATTTATTTAAATTTCATAAACCATCAAAATGACGTGTGTTCAAAATGAAATCCAGGCCATCTTTAAACGACTTTTAATTCCTATGTTTATTTTCCTCTTGTTGCGTAATTTGTAATTTTCTAATGAAATCACTGTGTGTTTGCTCCTGTTTATTTTTAGAAAGGAGAGCTTTCCACGTAGCTACGTCCCGGCCACACTGACGGTAAGGAGTAACAACACGGGGACATTTCACGGTGATATCTGTTACGTATATCTTGCCTTAAAAACACAGAGAGACTCCGAATGATTGAAGTAAAAGAAACGTTACAGGGATCGCGTTAAGCTTGGCAGACAGAAACAAAATCATTCAAGCAATCGCTCAAAAACAACTTATTTAAAAAAAAAATCTCGCGGTGACATCGAGAGCTTTCTGATTGGTTGAAACAGTTAAACGGTGTGTCACGTGGGCTGAGGTTACTTGGCATTCTGGGACACAAACAGTGGTCTGTATGAATAGCTTCAACATCGACAGCATCCACTCAGGAGAGAGGACGACGAGTGAAACAGCAACAGCAGCTAGCCTGGAGACAAAGAGCAAACTGGGCTTTCACATCCGGCTTGTGAGTCCTGTTTGTCGCTCTGGTGTCCGGGAGAGGCGGCTCTGAAAGGCCGGTGGCGGTGGTTTTAGTCTCGAGATTGCACTGTTGGACTTTATCCTCGCAGAGAGCTAGTTAGCTAACGGCGGAGAGTAAGTTAGCCACGCAGTGATTTGTGCTGGTGAGTTATCGCTAAAACTGGATGTGAATGCTGGGGGAGTCCTGAAAGTTGATGTGGATAGCACAGGCTCTCCCCTTGTCATGCAGACCCATCTTTGTCGTGTCCCTCCGGCCGCTGACTCAACCTTGTCCTGAGCGAAGTGATAACAACTCTGAAGATGGCGAGTGCTTTAGACAGCGACTACAAAACTGACAACATCAAGTCACTGCGCTGGCACGCTACACAGCTGGTGTACCCGAGATAAACTGCTAACACGGGTTAAGTTGGGCAGTTAATGTAATGGCAAAAGGTTACCTGTATGCCTTACTATGCCAGTGCAGTAACAGCACCAGAGCAATGGACTACTACTTATGCTGAAGCCATCGTCTGCGAAGTTTGTGATTACTTGTCTCTGTTGAGATGGACTTTGACTGTGTTTAGACGCTTTCTAGGAGCCTGTAACATAACAGCTGCTTCCAGGTCAATCTGAGCTCCACTGCTGGTCCCCAGAGGCTGTTTGAGGACCGACATGTCAATGTCAGGGGCTACGACCGTGCAGCTTTTCACCAAGCTTGTAAAGCACGCAGTGGGCAAGACGCAGATCCAGCTGAACCGCTGGCTGCAGAAGACCTCCACGGATGAGTGTGACAAAATCGACATCCTAATATGCAACGCTTTTGATGAGAGGGGGACTGGCTTGGGGAAGTCGGATGGTGTTCCCGAGGCCAGCGTTGACGCAGGGGGGACGACCTTCACCGGTGGTGCAGAGTTCAGACACCCGTGTTGTATCACCACCTTCTGTTTTAAAAGCGCCCTGCTGGCGTGCATCCTCACTGCTGTGTGCTTCTCCTCGGTGGCTCTGGTACGCCAATACCTCAAGGACCTCCTGCTCTGGGTGGAGAGTTTGGACAGCTTTGTTGGAGCCATGCTCTTTATAGTTGGTTTGATTATCGTGTCCTTTCCATGTGGATGGGGATATATTGTTCTTAACGTGGCTGCTGGCTACCTCTACGGCTTTGTGCTGGGCATGGGACTAGTTATGGTGGGGGTTCTAATAGGGACCTTTGTGGCACACGTGGTGTGCAAACGACTGTTGACTGACTGGGTGCTGAACAAAGTTGGAAACAACGAACAGCTCAGTGCCGTCATACGCGTGGTGGAAGGAGGAAGTGGACTCAAAATTGTGGCCTTAGCAAGACTCACCCCCATACCTTTTGGACTCCAAAATGCAGTTTTCTCGGTGAGTATGTTTCCAGGTTTTCTTAGGCCATCGTGTAAACTCACAAATTGCAGTAGATGTGTCACAGCACTTGTTCGGCTCTGGGAAGAATTCATTACTGTGCCAGATGATGGCTGAACAAATCAAACAGAGTCCTGACAGTTAATTCTGTGGTCTTTTTGTGTGTGTTTTAGAGGGGATGCATTTTTCTTATTTCTAGGCCAGCTGAATCTCAGGGGAAATCAGAACTATCTAGATACAAGTCAGGAACTGCCAGTTTCATTTCAGTTTAGGACACTGAAAAGAGTAGTTGGCCTGTTACTTCAATATTCAAGGCAGACCGGAGTCTAAATGTGGAAATGAAAATAGGAAGCCGGTCCACAGAGAATGGAAACTCATTCTTCCTGCAGATAAACGGAGTGCTCCTAGGATGTGGCTCCCAGTGGTCAGTAGCCATATTTCAGGTTTTATATTTAGGAGCAATTTTTTGTTTTTGTTTGTTTTTTTTCCCTCTTGAACATCTGGTGACATAAACAATTTAGTTTAAGGTGCCACCTTTTTTGTTTGGTTTCCTGTGTATTTTTTATTTTTTTGAGATGACTCATGTCAGATCAGTGTTGTGATATTGCTTTCAACTGCTCTCCTACATTTAACCGAGGACTGAGACCTTCATACATTGCATGAATAGTTTATACCCCTTCATTATCTTCCTCACTCAACTCATTGATACATCCAAAAAGGTAAAAGGCTTAAGTGATCATCCTCTGTTTTATAGAATATCAGGATGGGTCACTCGATATGAAAACAATAGGACTATTTAAAAAATAAAAAATAAAACAAGGTATTACAAGTTGAAGCCATGCAAAAAACATAGGTTCACTTACCCAGTATATCCACAGTTGTCTTTCTAGATACATTTAACCTCCTTAGGACCTGGTGTCCACATATGTGGACATCACATTTTGGGTTGTTTAGACCAAAATACTCAATTTTGCTCTACAAGGGCCTGATGTCCACTTACGAGGACATTTTACTGCTACTGTTCTATCAAAATTTTAAATGAATATCCTCATATGTGGCTCTCATTTTTATTAGAAACAAAAATCAGAAAAAAAAAAAAAGGTAATTCTTTGATTTTTACATTAATCAGCCCCAATATGCCCAAATATCAAAGAGAAATCAAAAATGCGTGTCGTGGAAGAGTTCGGGTCTTAGGAGGTTAAGGATCACACTCCTTGTGTAGGCAGTAATGTAATTTATAATACTCGTAAAATTGCCACTGAGAGGATTTATTGCTAGTTATAATAAAATTTAGCCAGGACATCCTTTCCACACACAAAAAAATATATATATTTATATCTCAAAACAAAAACTACATTTAATCTACTGCATTTAACATGCTCAAAGAGCTCGATTAACGGTAAACATGCTAAAAGTATTGTCTGATGAGAAATCCCCCTTAAATACTGGAAAACGCAGAAGCACAAACATGCAAAATTGAATGCAAAGCGTTGGGCTTGAAAGACATTAATAGCTTACAGCAAGAAGGAGTTGATGCACAGGCCCAAGGAGGGGAAAAAGCTGATGATGTAAGTGTGTTTCACAAGCACAGAGGTTGTATGGTGCTAAACCAGTGGGGTTTTCCGGGGTGACTGATTTGGTTAGACATTTGTCAACTTTATAGAGTTGAGTGCTTTGCGTTGATTATGATTTCTCACAGTTTAATGTCACCACACTGACATAAAAAATCTGCTTTATAACCCTCGTGCAAATATTGAGGTGTTCGACCGCTATACTGGTTGATCTGAATAACTATCTAAATGTGTCCCCAGTGTGATGTTTATTACTGAACATAGAGAGAAGTCCTGTAAAGGGGTATGAAATCTTAATCTGCCCTGTAGCGTGTGAGAGCAACATGTTGAAGTTATTTATTGCACTGCATTACGTGAACACTAGACTTTGGTTTAACATATCAATATTGCATTAACATATCTACAGTTACTGTTCAAAACGACCCTTACAACTTCAGACGGTAATTTGATAATGGTGAGATGAGAGCATGGTAATAATGAGAAGCCTTGTGGGTACAAGAATCACGGGACGCAATAAGCATTTGTGCTGCTGTTGTACGCTGACTGATAGGCTGCTATTTGAGAAGCATCTCAAAGTCAGATGTATGGATATCAAGGTTAGGCAGGGAGCTGACGTAGATAAGGGTTTAGAGTCGGTGGTGATCTGTTTGGACAGTGATTCCTTTGATAATGGCACCAAATGTGAGCCTGTTTTGGGTTTTTTTAGTTGTTAGGATGTTCGTTTAAAATATGCTCACAATGTGTTTTAAAATGAAGGTTTTTCAGACTGTGTTGGTGATAATTCCCAGACATACAGTGTCATCAAGTATGAGAATCTGTAATTCTGAATATGGGCATTATTAGTCTTTATTTCTACACTAAGTCAGCAGTTTACCTGATCATGGACTTTGAGTATGACATAGCTTAAGCGTAGCAGATGGCTTTCTTTTGCCTGACTGACTTCAGTAGCTTCATTTTTCCCCCTTGCTGTATACTTCATAGTTGGGACTTGTCTGTGCTTCATGGGAGGATAACTGGAGACGCTATGACAATAGTTGCAACATTGAACTTGCTGCTCCACGCTGCAGAAGTGAAAATGAGGTGGCAAAGTCAAAGGGACAGATTTTAACACTCTGTTGCTCAGCTGCTGACTCTGTGACTGGCGCTGTTAGCACCCTCAGTCAGCTCATGAGAGTCAAAGTACAAGGTGAGCTCACTGACAGTCATGTACGATGGTGATCTTCAGCTTGCTCTGGGTTATTACATACATGGTCAAAGCAAACAAAAAAAGGCTGCAATGCTAAAATGGCTAAACAACAAATGCTACAGATGTAGGTCATATTTTTTTGGATGCCAGTTTGCATTTGTTACTTTTCTGCTGGTTTGTTCCAGCTTATGACAGCTGTTTGTCTTTGGAAAATGTGTCTGTGCTTGACTCATTGTCAGGCTTTTTAAGGAGTTTTTTGGTTCTTTTGACATATTTTAGATTTACAAGCAGCTTGTTGAGTTCTTGGTGGATGTTGCTCCGAAAAGCTTGGAAAAACTCTCACCTGTTTTATTGAGATATCATTATGTCTATCATCTGCGTCTTTCTTCGATAATGAATAATATGGTGTCAAATGATAACTTGAAAGAAATCACAAAGACCGCATTGAAAGTAGTCCATTAATCATTATTTCCACACTTTTATCAGCGGTTTCCTCCTGGATCTGCACCTGTCTCGTATGCAACTTGTTCTGACTGCTCACATAGCGCCATGCAGCTGTTTTATGAAAAATGCTGTTAAAGCACACTGTACGCTAGCTGCTCGGCACCAAGTGGCAAGCAGACACACTTAGCATAGCAAAGCATTTACCAACCACAGTGTACTGGAGTTAGTGGAGTCCTAATCTTTCTAAACGGGTATCTACATATACATATGCAGAATGTGGAGGCCCGGGCCAACTTTGGGATCTGAATTTGTACTCATCAGTCACAAGCATGGTTACCGGTACCTGACAAGGACAGGAGGCAAAAGAATGATTTTATTTTTGCAATAAACTATCGCCTGCAATGGATTGGTGCTTTTGAATTTACCTGCATTTGTTAATGCATTTGCCTAACATGCAAAATACTGCTGGTTTGAGATAAGGGGGAGAGACAAATCTCCGCGTCAGGAGGGGCATCCGGTATAAGAATCAAAATAAGGTTGTAATCGAGCAGATGGAGCAGGAAGCCTCAGATATCTGCTGGCTGCATCTGAGGAGAAAATTGGCCTTTGTCCTCAGATGCTAATGCTTGATTTACAGGACTGCATTGCCTATGCTGTAGACTGACATGCACCTTCCAGACACAGACTTCAGCATCTCTGAGTAGTCTATTTGGTAGTAGTGTCTGATATATATATATATATATTTGGTTTATTAAGAAAAGCATGATGTTTTAATAAGAAGAGACCTGATTAACACAGTCAGGTGGCTGTTTCCTTCTAAGTAAAGAAGGTGGTGGAGAAGTGATAGCATTTGCTGTTAAATGACCAGGATGGAGAACTGATATATTCATCACATCACCCAGCGATGCGTGTCGCAGTCGCTTCCATGTGAAATTCTTTGGTTTCTGTTGGAGAAATGACTGTCAGAGTGGAGCTTTTCAGTCTCACCACCTGTTTTCCCTGCAACATTTTCACTTTCAACCCCAACTCAGGCTCTTGCTGGATACTTAATCTCATCTGGAGGTTCATTGTAAAGCCGAGCTGCTGTTGTATCTGTACGATCTTATTCTCCACAATAAAAGAGAAACGAGCCAATTCTAAGCATAGGCCCGTAACGGCTCACAGGAGAGTTATGTCTTGTCTGCCCTGCCCTTGGTAAGCACTTTCTGCGGTGAGGCTACATTTCACTGTGCCCCTCACTTCTTTCTGCTGAAGTTGGTGGTGCTACATTATCACGGGTAACCTAAAACGACACAGAGACTGCAGCAGTTAGCAAAACAATAGGACAGCTCAGGAAAAATGCTTGTGAATCCGTTGAGCTTCAGGTGCGTGCTTTCATCTCCGCACATCTATTTTATTGCACTTTTATACCTGCTCGCTATCCTGGCTCCAACACTCGTCATAATGAGCTGATGAAGCAATCTGGGAAGTCTTTGTGTGTGATTTATGGACCTTTGGTACAAGCAGGCATGTTTTAAGTGTTCTTCACACTCCATTAGTATGAATAAAAAAGAGAAACGGCATCACAGTTGCAATCCTAATTTTACTGCATAGTCAAAGCACCTAGTGTTTTGTTTACAAGCACAAAGTCAGGCCTGCATTGCTGCTGCTCTAAATAAATCAGGCCAGTCATAAGACGGGGCGATATTTTTTTCACTTGAATTTGCAGATTATCGTGATACAGGCTTGCAGAAGCAAGTAGGAGGTTCAGTGGGAATTCTCTGCACAGTCTTAAAAATACCACAGACTGGCCCTTCCCTGGTCGCATACAAGACAGCTGTGTGTGCCCGATGCCTGGGTGGGACTTCAGAGGCCCTGTGCTTCAGAGACTGCATTCATTTTCTTCTATAGCTCTCACAGATGTCTCAGAAATCAGCTGAAGGCGTTTTGATTGTGTTGGCACGTGGCGTGGACACATCAAGGCTAATCTTGCGAGGAGAAAAAGCCTGTCACATGACCGTGCAGAGGGAAAAGTGCTTGGCGAAAAAACAGCACGGACTACAATGTTAGCTTGATTAACCACGATTCGATAATGTCAGTGTTTTGTGAAGTGTAACCTAAGTTCTTATCAGTGTCTAGTGTGATAACGGGAGAGGATTTTATCCCAGCAAAGAGACACTTTGGCCGCATCGAGCGCAAATGTTTTCAAGCCCTGATAACATTTTGGCACAGACAGTCTTGCAGCAACATACCAAAACCCCTGACACACTGCTATCAGCTGCAGCGTAGTCACTGAGCACACGGTGCCAAGGTCACATCCTCCCACAGCCAGCACGGGTGCACAGAGGCTTATGTCATCACTTAATCAAGAGATCAAGGGTGACAGCGAGCCAGCAGTTATTTATATTTACCGGTATATTTATATTAAGGTGGTTGTTTGGAGATACCGACATATCAAAGTTCAGGATACTTGCACCAAAATTTATTTAACAGCTTTTAGATTTAAAAAAAAAAAAAAAATAGAAGAAGAAGGGGTCTGTAGCAACATTTTTTCTTTCTTTCTTCTTCTTCTTCTTCTTCTTTTTTTTAGGACAGCATCCTGCCTTTGAGTAGTTTTTCTAGTAACTGAGGTGAAGGGACTCAGTTGTGATGTAGCCTGTGAGCACAACACTAAGCCACATCATTGACACCACTGGCAGTGCTCTGCAGAGACTCTGGTCCTGGCGTTCATGCGGATGTTATATTTACTCGTGTACCACTAACCGGAACAAACCCCGAAGGCAGCGACACTACCCAACTGCAGCCGTCTCCTGTAGCAGAGCACCCAGCCTATGCACAGAAACCGCTCAGGAGTAGCTCAAAGACCATACTCGCCCTCCAGCTTTATCAGATCCCAGTCTGATTGAGCATCTCTGGAACGCGCTAGAACAAGCCTGATTCGTGGAAGGCAGCCCGTGGGGACCAGACTGCTCTCCTGGTGCCAAACGCCACGAGCTGTTTTTGCATGATGGGCGCAGGTTCAGCACTCAAATTTGTTAGAAACTATTTAGTTAACCCAATTTACTGTGGTTAGTATCATATTTATTTATCCTGCGAGGAAGCCAATCCTCATAAGAATTTATTCGGTGTACATATATAAAAGCGTGTAAATAAACAATAAAAAAAATCAGTACTTTTTTCTTTTTTTTTTCAAATTGTAAAAGTCGTAAAACAAGTTATTCAATTACTGGAGTTGTTCATATGTTCTTTTTTTTAGGAAAGGACAATGCCACCTTGTCATGTAGCTTCTTTTTTTTAAATTCTTTAAAAGCTTTACAACGTTTCAACAGGTTTTGGAAACTACACAAAGTTCAGGGCACAACAAAATCAGACAAGTCAGACAAGTTTGACTTTCACAGACTGACAGAGTTCAACATTGTTGAAATAACTGGAAGACGAAAAACTGAAAGACAGTCTTTTAGTTATAGATGTTTAAATATGATTAAATCTGATCTTTTTCTCGTGTGTTTTACTGTTATTTTATTAATGTTTGAAACCTATTTTGTTTTTTGGGGTTTTTAATCACTGCTCTCCTTTCACAGATCACAGATGTGTCCTTGCCAAACTACCTGGTGGCCTCCTCTGTGGGCCTGTTGCCCACACAGCTTCTAAACTCCTACCTGGGCACCACACTTCGTACTATGGAGGATGTCATCGCTGAGCAAAGCGTCAGCGGCTACTTCGTTTTCAGCCTGCAGGTGAGCTGAAGGTGATAATATATTGAGTACGAAGGTAACAATTTTCAAATATTCGAGATTTGAAATTATATGTTGCTTTCCCATTTTGCTCAACGTTGTGCTGACGTTTAAAGAACAAAAGCCCAGCGGAGCTCGTTATCAGCACACCCCTATTTGTGACCATACTGAATATTTATTCTTAAATATTGGTGATTATTGACGGAATAATAATAGCTGTGGATATAAAATAAAATAAAAATTGTGTGTAAATGTATTGTGGAAAATGCTTTAAAATGGAGAATGGTAACTACTGTGACGAAAACAAGCTTACATACAGGAAGTGTAAGATGTTCTTTTCTTGAAATGACTTCAGCAGGTCTGTGGGATGGTAATGGTTTCTCTCATTGTTCTGGTTTGAGCTTGTTCCACTCTTCCACAGTTTAACTCTAGTTATTTTCATTAATTTACCTTCAGGGATTTTCTAGAGATTGTTTGCGAAGGACTGAGCTGTTTGTATTTCACTGTTATCAGATTCTCAGAACTTATGAAACCGGTTTTGCAATTCAACAGTGGTTTGTTTTGTTTTTGTTTTGTTTTTTTAAAGAAGGAAACAGTGATACATGAATGAATGTCTGATGCGGTTGTTTACCTTTTTGCTTTACAGTAAGGAAGGAATTCCTGCTATAGAAAACATTTTTTAGACTATGACCTTCTTTCCAATCTTCACTGACATCTTCCTCTATTCATGCACTATATGTCCTTCAGCAGGTTTCAGTTTAGCCTTTCTGTTAATGATCTGTCAATGAGCTTTCAGTCCAAATTCTCTCAGGCGATGAGACACTTTATGCCAAGAAAAAAACATCAATGTTCAACAGCGAACTGACGAGCAATGTGGTCAATGAGCAATGAACCAGTTTCCCACTCAAAAGTTTCTCTCTGGTGAATTTGTCCCAAATGGACAACTATGGATGGATTTATTTATTTATTTATTTATTTTTTTTAAACCTCCTGAGACCTGAAGATTTTTAATTTCATTTTAATTTAATCGAATGTTCAGTATCAGGTGCAAAAAAGTTCCCTTAAGAAGGATGTTATTCACGTTGGATCACATTTCCTTTTAAAACATCTCATTTAAGATTTTTATTTAGGATAGAGTATTTTTAAAGTACAAAATACACTTTAACTACATCCTGTTCACTTATATTAGGCGCTTTAAATAGATTAAGGGGTAGCTTTGGTATTCCCTGACCTTTATCTCTTCTGTATCTCCACCAGATGCCCTGCTTGGATGTTATTCAGCCCTTTTAGGCAGGTCTTTGCTTTGGAGCACTCCTTGTTGTAGGTTTTTGTGAGTCAGAAAACACAACAAAACCACGTAATCTACTAAAACATCAAACCCACAACAAGAAGAATGTGCTCTCCACCGACCAAGCCTTCGTGTACGCCAGTCTGACCATGCGAAATGCAGGTTGAACACTTTTCTTTAGAGTTACAATAGTAACAGAGAAAATAAATATGACCTCCACACACAAGCAACAGGTGACAGATCTCGTCCTTGCTTCTAAGAAGAACTTTCTATTACTTTTCTGTGAAGTATTATTCCAGGCATTGCTCTTGTTTGTGCCAGAAAAGTCAGCTCAGCTCACCTCAAGTTCATTTCAGTTTTACAGCATCACCAACACCTGTTTAGTTTTATGTAATTCTCACAGGTGCTCAGGGAGAGTTAATAAAGGTCAGGAGTCCAGTGTCTGGTGAGTAGAACAAGGTATTAGTGTTTCATGTTATCTCATTGACAGCTGGCCATATTCACATGGAAGCCAGTCATGATGGGAAACTATGGGAGGTGCCGATGTAGCCCAGCTTCCCTGACACCAGCATGAGGAATGGACAGTCGGATTTTCTGGATTTGCCCTGTGATAGATGGCTCTCGCTCAATAGCAGTACAGATAGGCTCCTCTTCCCTGCTACCTTAAAGTGAACTGGAGAAAATGAATGAATTGGAGTTAAAACCAACCTTTAAATAACTAATTACGTGTGATTTATATAATAAACATATTGGTGGTTGTCCTTCAGTATAATTAACGCAGTGTTTCAGAGGCTACTGAGTTTTTGCTTCTGAAGTCATATTATTTGTTTGGGCTTGTTCTGAAAAACTCAGACTCCAAAGTGACTAAATGCCAAACTCCAGCTGGCTTCGAGATTTAGTTTTCATAGGTATGTGAGTTGTCTAGAAGGTGAAATGTCTTTAAATACAGAAGAACGCAGCAATGTCTTTAGTTTTTGAACTAAATAAGTTCATCGATATTTGTTCTGGTTTATAACTACTAACTTAATTGTTACTGTTTTCATTTCTAAATGTTAGAACGTAGCTAAAATTTGTCTTCATCCCTTTTTGCTTTTAGGAGACAAAACGATGTGCCTGTAAATGTAGTGCTTTACTTTATTATCGTCATCATTACACAAACAGAACGCTCATTACCACAATCGTTAGTTAACACAAAGCTTCTTGCTCTGCTCCGCTCTACAGATCATCATCAGCATCGGCCTGATGTTCTACGTCGTGCATCGGGCTCAGGTAGAGCTCAACGCAGCCATCGCTGCCTGCCAGATGGAGCTGAAGTCGTCGCACATGAACGGCTCCTCCACCAATCACAGCAGCTTCACCTACTGCAGCAAGAGGGTGACAGCTGGAAGCGGAAACTGCATCAACATCGTGTGATCTCGAATCGCCGCACGTGGCTGTAGCAGCCTAGACCTGGTCACTCAATTGTAACGCACGTATCCTTGAGGGAACCAGCACAGTTCAGCTGGTGTCCCAAACACGCCGGCGGCACGGTAACGTACTGCAGCGATCGTCCCGGCATCAGTGTACGCCTGTAGTCGGTGTGGAAGTGCGGGACCACGCGCCTGATAATGGTGCTGATGAACGTGGTACGTCATAATGGTAGTTTATTTGTTTTCTGTTAATGGTACTTTTTCACATTTGTTACATGAGATGTCTGCAGAAATGTGACGATCTCATGGCAACCTGCGAAATAGTCACGATATTTAATCCTTTTTTTTGTGCTCATCTAGAACTTCAACTTACAAAGTCCACACTGGGAGGCGGGAGATGGTGGCAGTGGCATGAGTTAATCATACACTTATTGAGACTGTAGTTTGAATGCTGGGCAGGAGTAGAGCTTTCAGACTCTGTTTTATTACCTTTACACTTAAGATGTTTGCTTGCTTTTACTGCGGTTTGGCACCAAAAGCACTAACAAAATAGTAGTTTGGGTTAAAATGCAAAGTTTGTTTTCTACATGATCTAACGTGACTGTTTCACTTTTGCCATGAGAGTGGGCAAAAATATGGCGGGTAGCACAGTGAGCGAGTTTTAAAGTACATGGCAGGAAATGAAATGCCTGCTTTTTTTTTCTGAATGTGCAGGTCCTTTCAAAGGAACCGATTTTACTTTTGATTTCAGTGTCAAAAGAACACCAGCCTATGCACCTTTAAGTATACCTGTTTCTATTTTATTTCAGGTGATTGATTTTGCTTATTTGCAGTATGAGTAATAAAGGGCATTATTAATATTTTTGAATTATTTGGCATTTTAATTATGGTTCCCTTTTTTTAAGTGTCTTATTTTTGGACTATGGAGAAGGCGGGAACACTCCCAGTGCGCGTAGGCTTTCAGTTTGAGCACCTCCTGCAGGTTTGAGAGGAGAGCCGGGAACTTTATAATCCAATATGTTTAACTCAGAGCCACACACCCTGCGAGCGATTCCCGCATCATTGGTGATCCATTTAGATTTTTCATTAATGTTCGTTTTACTTTTGTTTTTGTTTTTGCTGTGAGATTTTTCTTTTTCTGGAGAATTATAGAGGTTTTTTTTTTCTCTCTTTTCTTTAAAATGGTTGATTTGATAAATCAGTGCAATACATCTAAGAACGAAACTGCAAGAATGTCACATTTCAGTGCTGAAACCAAACTAATAAGAAATGCTGTCATGCATACGACATAACACAAACCCAAGTCTGTGTGTTATTTGGGGTTTATCTTACTTAGATTACAGAGATGTGAGCTCGATGAGATAAAGAAGCTTTTATTTTTTAATGTGCCGTGAATTGAGGAAGCTTATGAGAGGTTATGACCCCGGCCTCGCCTGAGGTGAGGCTGAGTGCAACTTAAGACTTTTTACTTGTTGGTGGTGATAGACATCACCTGGTAACTTTTTAAAATTTCTTTAAGCTCTTAATACAACAAGGATCTCATGCTGTAGGTTTGTTTGCACAGTCCACTACAGACAAACATTATTTTCATACAGATGAACTACAAATGGGTTTGGTTGGTCAAAAGGAAAACTGGATGTGTCATAGAAGCTGACAATCAAACACAACACTGACACCAAGGGATGAATGTGATGCTACTTTTTATTTTTTTACATTTATTGTGATGCTGCTCCTCAGACCAAGTCTGTTAGAGGAATATTAAGGGCTCCTATTTAAAAGATTAAAAAAAATTACACATCTTAATGTTCCTGTAGTTGTTCACAAAAAGCCTGCTTTGTGATGCTGGTGCAACTTTTTGTTTTGTTTTTAATTTTAATTTTTGTACCTTTTTGTTCTTCTTAACGCCAGAAACTGTCTTCACCCGAACACATTCCATGCTGTCAGTCGACTGGCAAGCTGTAGAGTTACTTTCACACTAAATGTTGGTTTAAAGGGCCCCTTCCGGTTTGAATTTAGCAATAATTTTGACAGTTTAAAGCAAAAAAGCCCATACCAGTATGTACCAGTAAGCTCTTTAGCCAAGTGAGGGGAATCGCTTAGTCGGGTTATAACGTGAACAAAAAGCTGCATTTAAGTTATTTGATCTATATTCCAGAGGATCACCTTTCCCAGGTTTGTATTTCAGTGTTGAGCCTGCCTTTTACCTCCCGCTGCCTCTTTGACAGACATCTCTGAGTTGCCTATGATTTGAAAGAGACGTCACGAGACACGCTGGTATCTGTGATCAGAACAGCTTGTTTGGTATTGGGAGAGTCCCTGAAATGACTGACTGCTTGCACACAGATCACACGAACATCTTTATCGTCAGATTGAAACACTTTTACAGCTTCTTCTTACTTGAATTGACCGTTTACGTATAGAGGGAGAGATGGGAACATGTCTTACAAATGATAGCTTGTGGGGAAAAAAATCACTTAACACTTAGTCATGTTTTAAAAGCACGGAAATGTGATTTGTTTTAAAGTCTTAGATGTCCCCTAACAGAGACTCTCCTGAAACGTAGCATGATTAATGAAGTTGTTCTACTCGGAAGTGGGTTTTTTTTTTGGTTTTTTTTGGTTTGTTTGGGTTTTTTTTGTCTGTGTTAAATTTTGTTTTTGTCATGTTTAATGCAAAAATCAAACATATAAATGAAGCTCGATTGGCCACCGTGGGGACACGTCATTACGTTTAAGCGTCTCACCTGGGAACTCAGATTGTGCAAAAATTTAGTTTTACACTTAAAGGCTTTGGTTCTTCCTACATGGGCTCTACTTAACTTTAGATATAGTTATGCAACAACTGATTCCTAAGGGAAGTATGTTTCATAGACACCCATATAAGACCTGGGTTTGGGATGCAGGTGTTATACCGAGTGAGGGATCATTAACCTAAAGGGCCGTGAGGTCATGTGTGGTGCTATGAAATGTAATACTTCCCCATCTGTATCAAGTGCATTACACATATACTGTATTTTGTAATACAGAGAATTTTACAGTGTATAAATGTTATTTATCACTGTACAATGCTTGTTCAGTGTTATTTATGAAAGAGAAAATAAAACTAGACAGTTTGTTATAACCTTCTGCTTCTTTTTTTTTCCCCATGAAACCTCACAACTAAAACACCTGAATTTATTTATTTTAAGTTGAGGTTTCTTCTGTTTTCTTGCAAGATGACCTCTTTTAATCCTCCAAGGTGAAGTTCATAATTACTTTCAGCCACAAATATTTGGACAAATTTTTTTTTTCCACAGTGGATTTCATGTCAGTCAGTGTTTAAAGTGCCAAGTTTCAGTTTTAATTCAAGGGATTTAAAAAAGAATGAAATTAATTTTAGGACTTAAAGCAATTTTGATGCATAGTCCTCCATTTGTAGAAGCTCTAAAGTAACTAGGCACATATTGATAAGCAGAACAAGTAAAAGATCTGTTCATGCAAAGTGTTTAAGTTGCGTTTTGCTGCTTTTCACTGGAATTCTCAAAATGAGGTCCAAAGTGATTTTGGTGCAAGTGTCATCATTAGTCTGAGAAACCAGAAGAGAGATTACGCCCTTAAGTGTCCAAATTAACTTTCTTCTTCAAAAATAATGAATGCACTGGCCAGCTCGGCAACAGCAAAACACCTGAAAGACCACAGAAAGTTAAAGTGGGTGATCACAGAATTATTTCCGTGTTTTAAGAAAAACAACTTCACAGCTGCTACACAAGTCAAGAACAGACTTGCGAAAGTGGCCAGATCAGTGTGAAAGCCTGCAATTAAGAGATGCCTTGGTAATGGTTATACTCAAAAACAAAGATAGACTAAACTTTACCAGGAGACATGTAAAGGAGCTCACACAGGTCTCAGATAAATTATTTGTACACATCAATCCAAATCATTCTGCGAAAGCAACCCAAGAGTCTCAAGACAAAGAAATGTGATATTTATCAATAGCCAAGTCAGTCACCTGATATCACTCCAACAGAGCATGTTATTCCATTACTGAACACAAAACTGAAGCCAAGGAGACCCACAAACAAGTAAAGGTCTTGCAGAGCATCTTGAGGAAACGCAGCATGTGGTCAGGTCCATGTGTTCTGCACTTCTACCGGTGACTGCCTGATGGGATTTTCACCCAAGTATTGAAGACAATCATCGCTTTTCATACATTGTTAGCTGGTTCAGTTACTTCTCAGCCTCTGAAAATGGGGGACTGTGTTTAAAAAGGGCATTTATTCCTAAATAGTTGATTCTGTAGTTATGTTAAACTCCCTGAACATCTGCACTTCAACTGGTTGCTGTTTGTTTGATTTTAAACTCATTTTAGTGTAGTGGGCAAAAAATATTTTATTCTATCATTCAGGTGATAAAAACTTACAAACTTACAAATGCAGTTTAATAAAAACACAACACAGAGTTTCATGATGGGAAATATATGATATAGTATTTTTGAAGTTCTCCCATAGAGACTGAAGCCTGGAATATTTCATCCACTGCTTTAGTCTTTTGTGTCGCTTATAGAAGAGTAACACTAAACCACTGAGACTTTAAATACACAAACTTGTTGTCCTAGTCTGTTTTTATGGGTTACAGGTCAGGATGTGTTATGTAACACTGAGTAAATAACTGTCCTTATTTTTTTTTTTACTTTAAGGGAACTGGTTTGAGTGGAAAACTCTTGACTACATGGCAGATGTTTTAACAGAAATGTGTCAGAAAGCTTCTGCTGCTGATTCATTTTTAAACTTGTCCCCGTCTTTGTTGAGCTACCACACTTTTTTTTTCTTAGTAAAATGCCTTTTCCATCCTAAATCCGAGCACGACTCTCCAAATATGACCCAGCTTCATCTCCTAACCCTTTGAGAGTCTTGGAAATGTTCTTACTCAGAAGATTTCCCCTTATCTTGCAATCCCCTAAAAAACCGTCAGTGCTCAAATATGCAGCAGCAGCAGCAGAAGCAGAACTGTACGGCCAGGCATAATACTGGCTTCTGGGGCAGTTTGTCACAGCAATTTTGAAGTGAAGTCGTGATGGATGTGGTGGTGGCGGTGGTGGTGATATAGATTGGAGTACCACTTAGACGTGCCCTTGCCTTGCCTGTGACAATCTACTACCTATCTCTGTGTGCACATGTGCACAGAGGTGGGTGTTTGTGCTTCAGTTAGATTGTGCTTGTAAACAGTGCTGTGCCCATGTAACCACATGCAACTTCATACAGTTGAAAAGCAGCCCAGAGCCTTCTGCTCACATCCCCAGCTCAACAAAAATATAAAAAGCGAATACAAGCTGAGCCAAACTCTATCAATCAAACAGCAACACGTCTGACAGGTCGTGCTTTTTATTGCTCCATCTGTTATCAGGAGCTGCAGCGCACGTCCGTCTGCTGCACTTCACGCAGTTTTTTCCAGGCTCGGGTCAGATCCGTGTCAGACCCATCATCATGTAACCCCACCTCGAAGGACAAACCCCATCCCAGAGCCTCTCCGCCAGCGCACGAACACGTCTGCACAAAACTAACAACATTGAATTTGACGCGCCTCAAATTAAAGGCCTCGTTCACTACGAGGCCTGCGCTTCGGAGGGAAAGCTCCAAAAATACTGAGAGGCTGTTGGTGTTCGACAACAAGGAAGGAAATACAAGAGTGAGTGAGATGATCTTGGAATTCGTCCATGCGGGCTTTCAGAGGGAAACTTATGGTGCGGATGTTTATGGATTTGTGGAGGAGGGAAATGATAGGCCTCTGGCAGAAGGATCCTCCTCGAGGCAGAGGGATAGATCATGTGACCACTTTCTTGGCGCTGACAGCTGTTGCCTCCATCTGTACAGTAGATGACCTTATGCTGATCTTCTTCTCTGTACTCAAGTGTGACACCGCACTACTCTCATGCACCGTGCACATTGTAGTTGCAGAATAGAAAAGCTGACAGTGCTCTTCTTTTCTGCATTTAGCTTTGGGTAGACTGTTCACCTAATAGCTGCTTAAATCATATTAACTTAACCCAGTAGTGCTTCTGCTGGTCCAGAACAGGTCTAATAATCAATTTTGATACTTTATAGAAAAACCATTTCACAGGAGTAAAAAAAAAAGATCATATCCTTTAATAATGTTAGAAACAAGCTCTTATATCTTCCTCAAATGCTTGATTTGAATTTAATGTTAGGAATATTATAATGGACCAAGCAGTGAAGGAACGTTAGGCACAGGTTAAAGTCCCTAAAAAAGTTTTTTTTAAACCCCCAAAACCCCCAATCGTAGGCCCATAAAAGAGATCAAAGTAATAGAACTCTGTAACAAAGTAACAGAAAGCTGTCAACAAACAATACTACTGACTCAAAAAAACTGAACTACTTAAACAAGACCAAGGAGAAACTTAAATAGTGGTTGATCAGCCCACAAAGACACAAAAGGGGGTAGAACACCCCCCCCCCCTCTTCACACTTGCTCCGCCCCTTTCCTCCCTTTTTAGCTCATCAACCAAAAGACTGGGAGCAGCTGCTACTGAGATAACTCAAAAGACAAAGAAAGATCAACTCATACACAGAACAGTGTAAACTAAAATGAGTGCATTTATTTCAGAATACAGTAAAGAAAATTAATTCTAAACCAAAACCGATTCTTCATTCCACTGTAAGTTAAACCATATATTTAAAGAAAGAAAAATATAAGTATAGTATAGTGTTATGTGTAAGTCTCTATTGTAGCACTGATGTTTAGTTGATAATCCCACTGTTTGTGACTGTAACTGCAGCCACCACAAAGATGTTTCAGAAAATGTTTGGACGTGATTGTTGCTGTTTGTGGACCAGTTGCTGTAATGTTGGAATCCAAATGTTTGCTTTAAAATAGGATTTCAGCTGTTTAACAGGACTATGCACCAGTTGTTGTACATTCGTCATTTCATAATGCTCCAAATGTTTTCTGTGGGTGACAAGTCAGTTCAGCCCCCGCACTCTTTTATTATGGAGAGGCATGCTGTTATTATGTGTTAAATGTAGTTTTGTTGGATTGTAGCATGTGTTTTGCTGCAAAAGCTGGATGTGTTCTTCATACTTACAGCCATCATGTGGCATTTAAACAGTATGTTGGTACAAGGTCTGATGGTCCCACTCGTCTTTAGCATAATGTTTGATTTGTTTCTATTGACGTTTCTATTGTTGTTATGTTATTATGAATGTTGGGTCTAAGTTTATGAATAGAAACACATAAAGATTACTTGTATTGCAAGTCCCACAGACCAAAGTGCTGTGTGTAATAATAGGTTTCACAGAGAATGGCCTAAAAAGGAGTAAATATCCAGTGAGCAGCTGAAAGAAGGCTGAAAATGCCTTGTTGATGCCAGAGATCAGAGGTGACTGTAAAGTAAGCAACTTAAATAACCACTTGTTACAATCAAGGTATGCAGAAGAGCATCTTTAAACATACAACATATTGAACCTTGAAGCAGATGAGCTACTGCAGCAGAAGACCACACCAGATGGCAGTCATGTCAGCCAAAAGCAAAAAACGGAATCTATAATTCACATATGCTCACTAAAACTGGACGATTAACAACTGGAAATATTCACCTGATCGATGAGTCTTGAGCTGTACTGCAACATTCAGACAATAGGGTCACAATTTGGTGCAGAACAACCTTCAAGTATGGATCCATCCTGGTAGACAATGCTGACAATGTACTCACCGTAACCAAAAGGCCCCCACAGTCATTAGAGCCCAATCCAACAGAGCACCTTTGTGATGAGGGCTAACAGTAGATTCATACCATCTGTGACAACTGTATCATACTGTGTGCCATTAAGAATTAAAGCAGTTGTGAAAGGGAAAGGGCGTCCAACCCAGAACTAGCAAGGTGTTCCTAATGAAGTGTTGCTTGGGAATTAAAGTGGTCAGCAATATGAAACGTTTTCATCATTTTAGGTTTCAAACCAATTCCCAAATACTTGCACAAAAAATAGTTGGATAAGGAGATTTGGATTACATGAAATCCCAAAACCAATATAATCTGCATAATGCTTCAATAGAAGAGGATGTTGAGTCTTGAGGTATTTGTGTTTCAGGCTTCAGATGAACTCAGCAGAGCTGGATGTATTTGGTCCATGTGTCCTTGTTAATCAGGGACCAGGGGACAAATGAGGGTGGGAGGCCTTTTCTGATGATGGCTGCTCCCAGGGAAAAGTCACATCTGTGTCCTCTCCTGAGGTCAGCTTTTCCTCGCTGTGTGTGGCAGTGATCTAAAAACTGTGCTGACTGCTCACCAAACAAACATGAGAAATGCACTCAGAGGCTGTATTACAGGGAGAAGTGAGGGGGGTGCGTCCAGACAGGCTGTGCGAGGAGACGGATTACATCTGGCTCGAGGGAGGAACTCATTAGATAGGATAACATCTTAAGACACCTTTTTCAAATCAGATATTTAACATTATTTTATACAGGAAAAAGGTAAAAACAAGCAGATGTTATTACAATTTTAATTATAAATGCTATAATTTTTTGGGGTTTTTTTTACTACCGGTAATTCTTATTTAATTTGTTCATCTTTGGTTTTTTGCCTACTGTTGCTATGTTATGGTGGGTTATTGATAAGAATTACCAATAGACAGCAATATGTCATGTTTAGCACAACCTTTGCCCTCATTTGCTGCAGACACGGTTTAATTACCGTATTAAAAAAACGTTGGTACAATTTTATCATGGCACTGAGCAAGATCAATCAATGACAACACAAACTCGCAAGGATGCAGAGGCAGGTTTAAACATTGCTAAAGCAAAGTGAGTGAAAAAACAAGTACACATACTGTGTTAAAATGTCTTACAGATGGATGTAAAAAAGTCAGCTTACGCGTTGAATTAAATATCACGATCTCATCCTCATACTGGGATTACACCATTAAAGGAGACTTCAGTAAATTTAGAAAATTTGCAAATTCCTGTGCGCAAGGCCACACTGACAAATACATGTATGAATGAATGCACACAAACACATTTCTTACACAGTCACAGCTAAAAGTTTTGGCAGTGACACAAATGTTTAATTTGATATGATTTGCTGCATCAGTTTTAATGTTTTTTCAGGGTGTTTTTAATGACACACATTTCATCCCTTGTACCCTCTCTTTGTCAAATCTTTGTCTCTGTGAGTGCCTGTTACACCAACTGCTGTGTTTTTTTCTGGTGGTCACTGATCTTTTGTGCTTTGATGGCTTTTCGTATAGTCTTTATGTCTTGTTACCCTGATGTTTCCACTTGCCTTCTGTCTGTGTATGTAACCTCAGTTTGGCTGTGTTTAAACCCTAGAGCCTTCCCTCCTGATTTCTTCTTTGTGTTTGTGGACATTGGTATTTTATATTCTGGATTTGCATTAGCAACAATAAAGGCAATATATGTTTTGTTTTGTTTTGTTTTATTGCTTTGTCAAGTCTGTCTGTCCTATCGTCCTGCATTTCATGACAACTCCTCACATGAACAGATCAGGTCAACCCATTTTTATATCCGTGTCTGCTCTTCCTGAAAATGATCTGGAAGATTAAGTTAACTGCAGATTGTCTGATGTTTTCTGATGTGAGCAGTTCACCTTCTTCGAAAACATGGGCCGTCTTCCTAGTCTTGCTAATCAAGAGCTTCAGTCGTAAGTGTATAAAAAAAAACTCACTGCTTGAACAGTTGCTACTCAACTGTGTACTGCCCTCTAGTGGCCGGATGTGTGTATTACACACAGAGTGACATCACAGTAGGGTTTCTCATGCTGTGTGTGGTGTTTTTCAGTCCCAACTCCATCCACTGAGGAAGATCATGTAACAACGTTAAAAGCTGAAGAGCTGTCAGACTTCTGCTAATGGATCTTGTTATCGGTCAATACAAATTTATATCAAAACAAAGCAGACATAATTTATTGGTGGTTTTCATATTTTAATTGGCCATTTTAACCACATAAAACACTTAAGCAAACACACATTAGAGGAATAAATTAAATTGAACTGATTAAATTAAGATAAATCATTTACAGGCAATAAGAATATCTTCCTGCATAGAGTTACAGTGGTTTAAAGAGCAGCTGATCTAAAATAAAATGCTTAACTGTCATGTTTTTGGTTGTTTTGTGTAGTTCTATTCAGCTGAGAAGGTGCAGTAGATTCCCCAGTGATCACTAGTGTAGCGTCCACAGTCCAGCTTCTCCAGCCCCACCAAGGCCATGTGATTAGGGGCCAGACGTGGGACTCCATGTTTGATAGCCGGGCGGAGGTAGATTCTGTCAAAGCGGAAGCGAGCAGGTGTAGAGATATTCTGATTGGTGTTAGTAGTGGTGTCCCACGTGTAGCGGCAGTGCTCCTGCTTGCCCAGTTGCTCCCATACATCACAGACAGTTGCAGGCAGGCCCACCTTGGGTACCTGAGACGGGTCCAGAGAAAAGAATTACTGTGATTACTTGTTACAAGTTTACTGGCTGTATCTGAGTGGAAGGAGCAGCGTCTGACCTCCGCGTCCCTCAGGTTTGTGTCTCCCCCAAACACAACGGTGACATCATCAGGTGCATGTTTAAACCTCCACTTCACCACATGCAGCTGATTCATACGCTCTTTAGAACATGCCTTAAAGCTCTCAAAGTGAGATGTCATCAGGCACAGCTTCTGGCCGTCGACGATCACCTGATTTTTGCAAAGGAAAATGTTCCTGAGCGTCACGTTCAGCTGAGCTCATGCATGTAAAGAAAATATCAGAGATGATTTTGCACACACCTGAGCAACAAGCAGGTTCCTCATCATCTGAGTTGTGCGATAAGGTACTATCTCACTCTCCACAAATGTGACTCGTGACTTTTTCAGCAACATCCCTGTGAAGTAACCTTCCTCAGCACCTGGTCAACACAAGTCAAGAGGAAGATGGAGACTTTTAAAGGCAAAAACCTTCAAAGGAAATCCTTTGTCAGGTGATCAAGGGCTAAATTGCACATAATAACTGAAAGCACACAATATCACAGTGAATACACTGCTGCTATGATAGTGGGCTTATAGTGGGATTTATTCCACTCATCTCCAGCTCCATGTGTTTGTTTTATATCTCTACTAGGACAGCTTTGAATGATTCATTACTCAAAACTGTCTGAAACAAGCTGTTATGGCTCCTCCCCCTTCAAGCAGCCTGACGTCTGACTTACTAGAGTTACTACTTCTAGACAAAAGACACGAAATTCAAGTGTTTATAGCCTGAGCGTTGACACCCAGGATTTACCTAGCTTCTCCAATTTCAAACTTATTATTTGAAAATGGAGAATCATAGTAACAATACATACAGTATGTTGGATGTGAGAGAAAACAAGAAACTACCTTACAATATAAAGCGCCTTGAGGCGACTGTTGTTGATATTCAGAGCCGTATAAATGAAATTGAATTGAATTACATACAGTATGTGCTGGATGTGAGAGAAAACCAGGAAAACCAAAACAGGCTCAAACAGCTGAGCTTCTCCAAAGTGTATCCATGGCCTGTGTAATAATCTTGTAGTGTTGGTACAACAGTCAGGTTTTATAAAAACAGTGAAGGAAGAATACAGATGTTACTAATATTAACTAAAGTCCCTAACAGCTCTCCTCATGTGTGACACTACGTGAAACCAAAGCAGTTCAACTGCATTCAGCCATTAATCACCATTTGATCATTCATACATGGACTTTTCCTACCTGTATCTGACATACTGTACCTTTAATCATCAGGTAGCTCGCAAACCGTTTCTTCAAGAAGTGGACATAAGGGGGAATGAGCTCCTGCAGGAACACCACATCAGGTTTGTATCTGCATTTACAAACATTATCTTTTATAATATTAACTCTCACATATATGCAGCCTTTAGCAACATTTCCCCTAAATGATGCCTAAAAGTGTAGCATGTGCTTACAAGTTTAAATATTTAACCAGGCCTCTGGCACGCTCTGGACGTTTTTCCCCATTAATCCCGTCCACGTTCCAGGTGATTAGGGACAGTTTAAAATCCTCTTTTTCTGAGGGTTTCTGTGTGGCAGCAGGACTGTTGGCTGGACTGGCACCTGGAGTGTCGGCCGGAATGTAAGCAGGACTTCCATCAGGACTGTCATCAGCCAATTCCATCCTGCAAATTTTTCACACAGTCAGTCAGCTCAAACACAAAGAATCATAGGTGAACTTTACCATATGTAGGAGAACAGACAGCAGACTTACCAGTCATCTGGAGTAGTATCTTCACCACTGTGTGTTTCAGAGTCGCTCTCCATGTCTGCTTCAACAAACTAGTTCAAGGCTCTCTGAAAGAAAAGTGACAAGAAGGTTTTGCTTTCTATTCATTTACTATAACTGAAAAAGGGCTTGGCTGCAAATACACCCACAGTATGTGTACTTGTGTCCATGGTTGCAAACAAATATGGTTCATAGTATGTTGACAAGTTCTTGCTCCACCCATTCTATCAAGGTATGTGGCGGGGGCGTGGTCTTTGGCAGAGGAGGGGTGACGCAATGAGCTCGCGGGGCGGCGTGGAGGCGGGAAGGAGCAGGTGTGCAGAACTGTGTTAATGAGAGAAACCTTTCTTATGTCAAAGGAGCTTGCAAAGAAAAGCGTCTGGACTTCTTTAAGTTACTTGAAGACGTTTCACCTCTCATTCGAGAAGCTTCTTCAGTTCTAAGGTCAAATGGTGGAGAGTCCCAGATATAAACCTAGTGGGAGTGACCCCCCACAGAGGGACAAAAGGACCCCCTGATGATCCTCTAATCGCCTGAGCCAAGGTGGGAAACTGGGCGTGGGTCCCAATCAGCCAGAGTTTCGGGTGAGTTCATTGTGAAACCTGGCCCCACCTTATCATGCGAATTCCTGAGATCAGATGGCCCAGGATGTGAGTGGGTGTTAAGGCGTCTGGGAAGGGATCTCAAAACTGGATTATAGATGGCAGACAGTTGGTGTCGTAAACCACCGCCTCTGTTCAAAGATGGTCGCTCACAGTGGACACTCCTCTTTCTTTGTTTGTGCAGTGCCGGAGGTGCCCCAGGCTTCCCAGGGTTTTTTTCCTTTTGAGGTACTGTACAGCAGGCAGCCGCGGGGGGTACTCGACCTGATTAAGGAAAACTGGGAGGAAGGGTCGAGCCCCGCAAAGAATGAAATTCAATACGTGCTGGACTTGAAAGCAAAGTTGGACAGGTTTGGGAGGCTATCATGGGAGAATTTGCTCCAGGCCCAGCAACGTCAGCAAACCCTGTACAACAGAGGGGCTAGGCTCAGGCAATTTTCACCGGGAGACGAAGTGCTTGTATTACTCCCTTCCTCCAGCTCTAAACTGCTCGCCAAGTGGCAAGGGGCCCCTGTGGTCACATGGCAGGTGGGGGACATTGACTATGAGGTCGCCCGGTCGGACAGGGGAGGAGCGCTGCAGATTTACCACCTTAACCTCCTTAAAACAACACATCTCCCCTCTCTGGTTCTGAACTCCCCTTTCTTAAAAACCCAGAGAGATTATAGTTGCCCTACGTTGAAGAACACCGAACCCTCTTCCTATTTTATTGCTTATTTTCATCAACAATTCTGCTAATTTTATGTGTGTGTGTCCACCCTAGGGGAGCTGGTGTACCACCTTCTCCCGCTAGTTGGAGGCAACTTTTACACACATTTCTACACTCCTCTCTTTTTTTTGTTTTCCTGTTTTTGTTCCCAATTTTCAAGATTTTAACCCCATTTTTCACTGTTTTTACACACACATCAACTTTTCCCACACAACCATTCTCTGGATCTAGATCCCATATTTACATTCAGAGCGTCCCCTGCAATGGCCTTCTTCCCTTCTCGGCAGAAAAGTGCTAAAATACCGTCACTCCGCACACTGTATTGTGCAGACGTGATTATCAACAATGGACTCGAACCACCGTTCCCTGTGATGGACCGGTGTTTTTGCAATTACTTTCTGGCAGACGATTGCTTTGCTTTGCACAACACCGGAACCGAACAAAAGCCTGGGGGCTCGAACCCCAGGATTTTCCTCCCGGAGACTCAAACTCCGGAGCAGCAAGCACTTCACGGCTCGGCCAGACAAAAAACTCCTCATGACTGTATACAAAGTTAGCTACAACTCACACATCTGCAGGAGTCCCCTCAAAGTTGATGATCTCGGTGGTAACTGAAACACACGACTCCATGACTCCTCCATTTCCTTTGCTTCAACAGCTGGTAGGACAAAGGTACCTTTTCCCTCAGGGGTGATCAGCCCGTCCATGAAACCGTTGTTCAGTGACCACATGGACTATCATGTCGACAACGCCATTTTGTTGTGGAAGTTTTCCATTTAAATAAAGCCTGCAGACGAGCGGTGAGCGGTAGCTAACATTCTTTAATCAAAACCCACAAAGAACAGACAACCAAGCTTGATGAAGTCCCTGCATGACTGCGGGACAGACGGTCAGCAGAGTCTCCCTGAGCCTAGCATGGCTCTCAGTTAAATACCTTCTCCAGGAACAAAAGGCAGTACACAGCTGTTTCACACCACTAGAATTACTGAGCCTTTTTTTCCCTGGTGCGAGTCCCTACTACTAGATTTACTAGCCCTGCGCAAATTTGTGTAAATTCCACTGGCACTGCGTTGTCTTTACATTCCCTGGCACAGCAGCTTCAGCAGCCTGCGTCTGTGCTAATATTTCCTTGTGCTACATGAATCGGCAACGAAGTTCCTGAGCTAGAAGACTCAGAAACAATCTTCTTTTGCCTGTCCACCCTGTACATGCCTTGTACAAAATGTAGGCATTCACCGCCACCAGGTGAATGCCTCTCTCAGATGAAGATCTGAGAGAGCAGGAAACAGTGGTGATATGAAATCAGATCACAGAGATAAACATGAGAACTAAGATTTTGAAGTTTATCGTGGCTTCTGTGGGCAACCAGTGAAGCTGTTGAAGAATTGGGGTAATATGGTCTCTTAAGGGAGTACGAGTTATGACCCGAGCTGCAGAATTCTGAAGAAGTTGAAGTTTATGGAGGGACTTATTGGAAAGACCAAATAGGAGGGAGTTGCAATAATCGATCTGGGAAGTAATAAGACTATGGACAAGGATGGCAGCAGCATGGGGAGTAAGGAAGGGACTAAGTCGGTTAATGTTGCGTAAGTAAAAGTATGCAGACCGGGTTATGTAATTAATGTGAGACTGAAATGGGAGAGTATACTGTCAAGCATGACACCCAAACTCTTTACCTGCAGGGAAGGAAGGGTGGGGAAATTTTCAATATTAATGGAGAAACTGTGAGATTTGGTTAAGGTAGAGGCTGTGCCAATGAGTAAAACTGTTAAGTTTGAGAAAATTGGAGAAGAACCAAGATCTGATCTCCATAAGACAGTTCGAGAGGAAGGTAGGTGGAAGGGATGAATTGGGTTTGGAGGAAATGTAAAGCTGGGTGTCATCAGCATAACAATGAAAATTAATATAATATTTTTGGAATATTTGGCCAAGAGGGAGCATGTAGATAATGAATAAAAGAGGCCCTAATACTGAACCCTGGGGGACACCAGCAGAAACAGGATAGAGACCTGAAGAGTGTGATTTAAGTTGGATAAACTGAGTGCGGTCTGAGAGATATGAGGTGAACCAGGCAAGGGGAGTGTGACTAATGCCAATGGATGCTAATCTGCTCAGGAGGATATTATGAGAAATTGTGTGAAATGCCGCACTAAGATCGAGAAGGATGAGAATGGTTAAAAGACCAGAATCAGCTGCCAACAGAAGGTCATTAGTAATCCTTAACAAAGCAGTTTCTGTACTATGATTGGGGCGGAAACCAGACTGAAATTGTTTGTAGAGATTATGGTCATTGAGGTATGAGTGAAGCTGGGAGGCAACAACTTTCTTAAGGATTTTCAAAATAAAGGGGAGGTTTGATATAGGGCAGAGATTTTCAAAATTATTGGGATCTGCACCCGGCTTTTTGAGAATTGGAATGACAGAAGCAATTTTTAGGGATGGAGGATAAATTCCAGTGTTAAGGCAAGAGTGGATAATACTAGTTATGAGAGGAGCCGATTAGGGAAGACAAGCTTTAACTAACACAGAGGGAAGAGGGTCGAGCTGACAAGTGGATGATTTAGATTTTTTTAATAAGGTTTGATACAACAGCTATGGAATAAAACTTGAAAATGACTAAGAGGAAGACAGCGAGGAAAACAGAAAGTCTACTTCACAGTTAGAAGCTCCTACAAAGTTAAGTTGTTGGTGAATATCAGTGATTTTATGAGTGAAAAAAGACAGAAGAGAGTTACAAAAGTCAGCAGAGTCCATATGAGAGGGGAATGAGTCTGGAGGTTTTGTAATTTCTTTGTGTATGGTAAGTCCAGTTTTCTTAAACAGACGTTCCAGTTGGCGTCCTTTAGCTTTGAGATGGCGCAGGTTAAGAGTAAACCGTGATGCTGAACAGGAAAATGAGACAGTTCGGTGTTTAAGTGGAGCAAATATGTTAAGAAGGTTATGGAGGTCGACATTATAGTGAGAAACAAGTTCATCTGGGGATGAGGAGCTGTGAATAAATGGAAAGTCATAAAGGGCAGATGAAAGACCTGCAGGGTTAATATTACCAATTTTCCTAAATGTGATGTCATGGGGTGTACAGGTTTTGTAGGCTTTTGTATTTACAGTAAAAGAAATAAACTTATGATCAGATTGGGGAAACAAATGGGCTTTACAGTGAGTGGGGGTAACGCCAGAACAGCAGACCAAATCCAAGATATGACCTTTAGAATGAGTAGAAAATTTTATGTATTGTAGAAGCCTCAAACTTTCCAGACAAGAAATAAAATCTCTGGAAAGAGGGATTTTATCATTGTCCATGTGGATATTGAAGTCACCAAAAATTATCAAATTTGGGGAAAGTACCGAGAAATGAGTAAGAAGAGCAGCAAAGTCATTTTAAAAAATCCTTATTTGGCTTAGGTGGCCGGTACACAGTACATATAATGGTGGGAGTAGATCCAAGGAGCTGTATATATTCAAATGAGTGGAAGGGTGGGGCAGAGACAGGGAAAACTTTCCAGTGCTTGCGGTGAATTATCGCGAGGCTGCCGCCCCTCCTGAAGTTGCGAGGTTGACAGATGTAAACAAACTCAGTTGGAGTAGAGTTATTAAGTGAAACAAAATCATTAGCCTGTTGCCACGTTTCAGTCAAGCAAAGAAAATCCAACTTACGTTCCGAGAGGAGATCCTGGACGAGATGGCCCTTACCAGTGAGAGAGCCCACGGATAATGTACCTGCGGCGGGGCTTTAAAGCGATGTCTGGATAGAGGTAAAGAGCCACAGGTGGAGAGACAGCCAGGCAAAAGCGGAGTCGCAGAAGTTCTGTAGCAGAGTAATGAAGTAGAGCTGCAACCGGGTGATGAGCGATGAAAAAAACAACCCAGGTGTGCACAGACCACACAGACACCCTGTGGATCCACATCTTGATCAGGCCCTCGCTGAATGTAGCCGGTTGGAAAAGACCGAGCAGGCAGCTGTAGTGCGAGCAGTAAAATCCCACAAATATTGCGATAGCAAGTCAAAACAGGATTACAACTTGGTTCAAGTTGTTGTCAATAACTTTAGAACAAATAAAAATGAGAATAAATCGGTGAGCAGCGGCAGCAAAACGTGCCAGTGCCGGAAGATATTGAGATGCAGCCTGGCATGACCGTGCATTCCCGGAGCATAAGCGACAAATTGTTCAGTGGGAATTGAACGATATGCTGAGGCTGGGAGTAATAGAAGAGTTCCACAGTGCTTGGTGTAGCCCTGTAGTTCTTGTGGTGAAGAAAGATGGGTCTATACAGTTCTGTGTGGACTACTGCAAGGTGAATGAGGTGTCATGGTTTGATGCGTACCCAATGCCTCGGGTCACTCCTGGACCGGTTAGGCACTGCTCGTTTTTTCATCCCTTGTCTGCGGGGTCTAAGGAAAAAATGGCCGCCTTATGGACCGGGTGCTGGGGCCGCAAGCTGCGTATGCCGCCGCCTATTTAGATGACGTGATCATCTACAGCGACGCCTGGGCGGAGCATGTGCAGCGGGTTGCCGTGCTCCTGAAGTCCCTGAGGCAGTCGGGGCTCACGGCCAACCCGAAGAAGTATGCAGTTGGACGGAGGGAGGTACAGTATTTGGGGTACCACTTGGGGGACGGGCAGGTGCATCCACAGGTGGAGAAGACAGTGGCCATTGCATCCTGCCTGCGCCCCAAGACCAAAAAGGCAGTGAGACAGTTCCTGGGGTTGGCAGGCTACTACCGCCGGTTCATCCTGGGGTTTGCGGACCTGACTAGCCCCTCAGCAAATCTCACCCGAAAAGGTGCCCCAGATCTGGTCCAGTGGATGGAGCAGTGCCAGGCATCGTTTTTGCAGGTAAAGACGGATCCCCACTGTTGTTCATACTTAACTTCTCCCTCCCGTTTATTCCGCGGACAGACGCCTCGAACAGAGGGCTGGGGGCCATTTTGTTCCAGCAGGTAGGGGAAGCCGACTGTCTCGTCAGCCACAAGCTCAGGGTGCGGGAGACCCGCTACAGCACTGTGGAGAAGACGTGCCTGGCAATCCGGTGGGCGGTCGACTCCCTTCGTTACTACCTCCTGGGGCGCCCAGTCACTCTCTGTTCAGACCACGCCCCGCTACAGTGGCTTCACCGCATGAAGGATCCCAATGCTGGGATAACCTGGTGGTATCTGGCTGGGGACAGGCCGGGGACGCAGATGGTCGTGGCTGATTTCCTCTGCTGCAGAGGAGGGCTGACACAGTGAGCTCACGGGGTGGCATGAAGGCGGGAAGGAGCAGGTGTGCAGAACTGTGTTGATGAGAGAATCCATTCTCATGTTTTGCAGTGAGAAGGAGCGGGACACACACACACACACATACATACAATGGGAATGACGGAGTGGCAGCATCCAGGGCAGATGCCAGAAACAGCAGGGGGAAAAGCACAGTTGGAAATAAAGTACTACTGAACGCAGAAGTGTCTGTGCACTGTCAAGCATGGTGGTGGTAGCATCGTGCTCTGCTGTGTTTTGTTGCCAGTGCATAAAGTGGATGGAATATTAAAGGAGGACTACCTCCAAATACTTCAACTTCACCTCAAATCAACAGCTAGAGGCTTGAAACTTTGACACAGCTGGGAGTTCCAACAGGACAATGACCCCAAACGCATCAAAACTGGTTTTGAATGCATAAAGCAGTCTAACATGGAGCATCTGGACTGGCCTCCCCAAAGCCCCGACATCAACCCTATTAAAAACTTTTGGTCTATACTTAAAAGCTGAATCTGAGCCACAAAACCAACCAATTTAATTGCAGGTAGACTAAGCCTACATTTGAATCATGTTGTTGGATTAATTGTTTGCTTGCTCTCAGGCCATTAAATAGCATCCGTACTACAGCTGAAAGAATAAAAAAGTAAAACTGTGTTATGCAAATCTAAACATGAATAGACTGCTTGATTATTATTTCATTAGATTCTCTGTGCCTGAATCTAATGGTTAGATTCAGCTGCCTGAATGACAGCTTTATAAAATAAAGCACGAGTGGATAGTTTCTCCACTATCAGCTCAACAGATTTTACTGTAAGATTTACAGATGAAAGATTTACTTCCATACGTTCGCTCCGTCAGCTGATTTAGGAAACACGCCTATTTAAACTGGTGATAGTCACAGTTTAGTCAGGAGCAAACAGCCTGACTAAACAGCACACTGGCCAACAGAGACGACCATTCAGTGAAAATGACGAATCTGCAGATGCAACATCTGGAACTCGCAGAGTGGAATATTTTAACAAATATAATGAGTTAACCTGAAACAGAGGTGTAGACCAAAAGGTGACTGTTCACTTTTAATCTGCTGTAAATTACTTTTTATTTACAGCTAATATGTGATATATATGGTATGGGGTATGGGGACTGTAACCAGTTTTAGATCCCTTTAATGGTTAATTGCATTGCTCAAGTATAAAACAAGTAGAAAAGTTAGATATTCACATTAATTGAGAGTTGTTTGTGCAGACTTAGTGGAAGGCAGTGTGCAGGAATGTGGGAGTGAACCAGAGCAAGGTTGAAAAACTGGTTTCCCACTTGTGGAAGATGAGCAATCACGGCTCCTACTTAAGGCATGGATGGACATTCTCTCATTGCTGGAATGTTGAACTACTTGGTTAGTGAAACCCTGGCTCTTTACTTAGTTGACTTCTCAAGAGTTTCCTTGTGGCTTCTCCCAGTGACCCTTGCCCTCCTTGCATGCAGGTTGAGGTTTCTCCTTGTCGTCGTATCCTGGAGTGTGGTGAACAAGAGAGAGAGTCCCCCTACCCCCATCATATGTGTGTAGTGGTTAAAACTGGACTCACCATTACGGCTTCCCATAACAATGCTTTCAGTCCTGTAAGTCACTGTTTACACAGTTGCTATTCACCTGTGTACTGCACTCTAGTGGCCTGATGCGTGTATTACACACAGAGTAACATCACAGTAGGGTTTCTCATGCTGTGTGTGGTGTTTTTCAGTCCCAACTCCATCCACTGAAGAAGATCATGTAACAAGGTTAAAAGCTGAAGAGCTGTCAGACTTCTGTTTGGACTTTTCATCCATCAATGTAAGTGTACATCAAAACAAAGACATTATAATTCATTAGTACTTTTCATTTAATTTTTTCATTTTAATTTGTCATTTTAACCACATAAAACACTTAAGCAGACACACATTAGAGTATAAAACTGATTAAATTAAGGTGAATCATTTACAGGCAATAAGAACATCTTCCTGCATAGCATTACAGTAATTTAAAGAGCGGCTGATCTAAAATAAAATGCTTAACTGTCATGTTTTTGGTTGTTTTGTGTAGTTCTATTCAGCTGTGAAGGTGCAGTAGATTCCCCAGTGATCACTAGTGTAGCGTCCACAGTCCAGCTTCTCCAGCCCCACCAAGGCCATGTGATCAGGGACCAGACGTGGGATTCCACCTCTGATGGCCGGGCGGAGGTAGATTCTGTCAAAGCGGCAGCGAGCGACAAAGGGAAACGTTTTGTTGTTGTTGGCAGAGGTGTCCCACGTGTAGCGGCAGTGCTCCTGCTTGCCCAGTCGCTCCCACACATCACAGACAGTTGCAGGCAGGCCCACCTTGGTCACCTGAGACGGGTCCAGAGAAAAGAGTTACTGTGATTTCTTGTTACAAGTTTACTGGCTGTATCTGAGTGGAAGGAGCAGCGTCCGACCTCCGCATCCCTCAGGTTTGTGTCTCCCCCAAACACAACGGTGACATCATCAGGTGCATGTTTCAACCTCCGCTTCACCACATGCAGCTGATTCAGACGCTCTGCAGTATTTTCCTTACAGCTCTCAAAGTGGGATGTCATCAGGCACAGCTTCTGACCGTTGACGATCACCTGAGCTTTGGAAACGAAAATGTTCCTGAGCATCACTTATGGAGACGAAAAAAATATCAGAGATGATTTTGCACACACCTGAGCGACCAGCAGGTTCCTCCTCATCTTAGTGGTGGGATAAGCTACCATCTCGCTCTCCACAAGTTTGACTCGTGACTTTTTCAGCAACATCCCTGTAAAGCAACCGTTCCAACCACCTGATCAACACAAAAGGAAGAGAAAGATGGAGACTTTTAAGCTTTGGTTCCCCTTCAAATCAAATCTTTAGTCAATGATTTGTTTTTTCTTTGAGTATTAGTTCCTAGCTCTTCTTCCATGTTTCTAGTTCTGTTCCCTGGTTGATCTTATCTGTGTCTCAGTGTTTGTGTTACTTCCTGGATTTTTTGTCTTGTGTGTGTTGTTACCTCATGTGCACTTAAGCCCTTAGAGTTTGTTCAAGTTTTACTCTGCCTTATCTTTTGTAAAGGTTGCCTTTTGCCAGCTAATAAAGCTCTGCTTTGAGTTTAGTTTGTCTGGCAAGTCCTTAATTTGGGTGCACGAACCGTTTGCCACACAGCTGTCCCACAACAGTAATAAGCATGTAGTCTCAGTACAAAGTTTTATAGTCAGGTTTTATAAAAACAGTGAAGGAAGAACACAGATGTTACTAATATTGACTAAAGTCCTTAACAGCTCTCTTCATGTGTTACATGAAGTCAAAGCAAAGCAGCTCAGCTGCATTCAGCCATTAATCACCATTTGATCATTCATACCTGTGCCTTTCCTACCTGCATCTATCTGACATACTGTACCTTCAATCATCAGGTAATTGATGAGCTGTTCCTTCAAGAACTGGACATAAGGGGGAACGAGCTCCTGCAGGAACACCACATCAGGGTTGTGTCTGTATTTACAGAGATTTACTTTAATAATATTAAATGTCACATATGTACAGCCTTTAGGAAAATGTTGCATCTCCAACAACATTTTCTCCAAACGATGCCTTAAAGTTTGAAAAGTGTAACAGGTACTTACAAGTTTAAATATTTAACCAGGCCTCTGGAACGCTCTGGAAGGTTTTCCACATCAAGCCCGTCCACATTCCAGGTGATCAGGGACAGTTTAAAATCCTCTTCTTCTGAGGGTTTCTGTGTAGCAGCAGGACTGGCAGCAGGACTTCCATCTGGACTGTCTACAACCATAGCCATCCTGGAAGTTTTTCACAGTCAGTCAGCTAAAATACAAAGAGTCATAGGTAACCTTCACCATACATAGGAGAACAGACAGCAGACTTACCAGTCATCTGGAGTAGTATCATCATCACTGTGTGTTTCAGAGTCGCTCTCCATGTCTGCTTCAACAAGTTATCTCAAGGATCTCTGAAGGAAAAGTCCCAGGAAGGTTATGCTTTCTAATAATTTACTATAACTTTACAAACATGGCTTTGCTGGAAATGCACCCAGGCAGTTTCTCAGTATGTTTATTTGACTTTTTGTGTCCATGGTTGCAAACAATTAAGGTTCAAAGTATGTTGACATGTTTTAGCTCCTCCCATTGTATCTATCCCAACCCATTCTGCGTTGCATAATTCCTTCCCCAAACTTTAATAAACATACCTACAGAGAAAGGCCAGTGAACAGAGAAAAGCAAACAAAGCAACAACAGAGGTTCAGTAAGTACCACACTATATAAATGCAAGCAAGCAAAAAAGCAAAAACTAAGAAATAAAAGGTTTGATACAACACCACCACAGATTTCAAAAGTGTGTAATTAAATCAAAGTTATGAGAGCTGAATTTTTCCAAAAAGATTGGGCTTTAAAATAACTACATATATGCATTAAAACATATAATAAATATTAACCAAAGCTGGGACGAAAACCTGTCATGGCCAGACCCAGGGTTCATGTGTTTTTTGGGCTTGTCAGTATTTCTTGGGTTTATCTTGAGCTGGCTGCCCTCGCTGGTCGCCCCGCCCATGTGTCTGCTTATCAGCTGATTATCATCACGTGCAGTCTCCCTCTTAACTGTGGGGCTGAGCTTCAGGCAACCCTGGATCGTTGAGTTTACTCAGCAGTACATCCCCGGCCTCATAGTGAAGACTTTGTGTGTGTCTTGTCTTGCCAGGATTTGTTAATGGAGTGTTTCACAGGAGCTGTACAGTTTGGGATTTGGAGTTTCACGATTCACGCCAAGGACACGCACCAATGTGGGATTTTAGAGAAATCGCCATGGGAGCCACGGTGTGGGGATTGTCACGTTGTTGTTTACCTTTCTTCACTGTAAATAAATTCACTGTCACTTTTTGGAAAAGTCCTGCGTTGGGTCCTGTTCTTACTACAAAAGTGACAAAACCCTTCTGTCCTTAATAAAAATGGTCAAATATTATTTCCTCTAATGTCAGTAAGAGCAGGTTGATTTTCCTGGCCTGCAGGCCGTTCACCATGTCACGAGTGGACTGACTCTCAACCAAAAAGTAAATAATCCACATCCTATTTTGCAATCATCTGTTCTATTTAAAGTCAAAGAATGATATTCCTTTTTATCCTGACTTAGAAAATATTCTTTTAATAACATATTTTAAATTGAAAACGTTTATTACAGAAATCAGCGTCTTCAATGATGACATATAACCCATATAATATTTGATTAAATGGTAAGTGGCATGTATTTGTATAGCGCTTTACTCAGTCCCTAAGGACCCCAAAGCGCTTTACACTACATTCAGTCATTCACCCATTCACACACACATTCACACACTGGTGATGGCGAGTCTCGGCCAGACTCTTTTGGTAGAGATCAGCTTCTGACATAAATCTGGCTGGATATTTGACCACACTTCTTGGAAACAAAGTTAATTTAAATTGGTTGGTTTTGTGGCTCAGATTCAGCTTTTAAGTATAGACCAAAAGTTTTTAATAGGTTTAAGGTCGGGGCTTTGGGGAGGCCAGTCCAGATGCTCCATGTTAGACTGCTTTATGAATTCAAAACCAGTTTTGATGCGTTTGGGGTCATTGTCCTGTTGGAACACCCAGCTGTGTCAAAGTTTCAAGCCTCTAGCTGTTGATTTGAGGTGA